GCATTGTGAAGGAAGTACTACTTTGGCATGTCCAAATGGTATCAATTTTCTACAATGCTTTCCTGTGCCCAAATAACCATCCTCCACAAAATTTCAGCTCACTCCATTCATTATTTTGAGCCCAGCTTCAACATTCATATTTTTGTCCAGCGTGGTACTTTGCAAAGCAAGTACCACCTAGGATCCTCCTTTTGAGCTAAAAATTTGTGAAGACATTCTCCTTAGTAGATGATCATCCTCAGCCAAAACTCACGCCCATTGGCCATGTGCATTTCCTGTACCGCTAATCAAACACTTGGCTACTAATTCATGTTTGAGCATCGATCGATCTCCTCGTGAGAATATTATGTTGTAATTTTCTTCCTAGCACCAACCTGGGGAGTGCCCAACCCACTAGACATGCCTAGGCCGCCCAGAACACATGGCAACATTACGGTCACGCGGTGCCCACGCGACGGGCATGCGAGTTTACGCGCTCTAGAGTTGGGGCCCTCGGCCACCGCCCAAACCTCGACGTATCGCCACCAAACCATGTGTTTATGATTAAATAGGTCCTTATGTAACTAGAAATGATTTTTGGAAAAAATAAATAGCAAACTATGAGGCAGCTGCAGTTCAAATTTGACCGGCTTCCAACTGAATCGGCAGAAGTTTGTCTTTTTCACCAGAGGTGGATCAAAACTTTTTACACCCAACCATTTTGTCAATTGTGCATTAAATATGGCCTAATATTTTATAAAAATGATTTGGTCCAATTTTGCAACAATTATTTGGTAGTTCCTTCACAAAAAAACCTCCTTTCGGGCACTCGAAAAATGGAAAAAGGTTTTTTCGTCCAACGAAAATGAAAACTTCCTTAGGCAACATTGCTTGCCATTCCAATATGCACCCTTGTGCACAATATGAGATCATTTCAACAAACTATGCCATGGATGTGGCCATAAGATTGATCATTTGGCTTGAAAGCCATTGATCTCCACACATGATAGCTCGTTTCTGAGAACACTTTTTTTAAAATAATTGCCGTATTACAAGTTTGTTATTTTTCCTAGGAACTTGGCCACATATGATGACACAATGCGAAGGTTTCCCAATTTTTTGATTTTTTTTGAATTTTTTATGCCCGTTTCAAAATGCGGTCAAAACGGCGGGCTTGACCGTTCCTAGCTAGTGGTTGAATCTTGGAATTTTTTTGGTGTTTCTCTGATTAAATAGATACTTATGTACCTAGAAATGATTTTTGGAAAAAATAAAGAGCAAACTACGAGGCAGCTACAGTTCAAATTTGACCCGCTTCCAGCTGAATCGGCGGAAGTTTGTCTTTTTCACCAGAGGTGGATCAAAACTTTTTACACCCAACCATTTTGTCAATTGTGCATTAAATATGGCCTAGTATTTTATAAAAATGATTTGGTCCAATTTTGCAACAATTATTTGGTAGTTCCTTCACAAATAAACCTCCTTTCGGGCACTCGAAAAATGGAAAATGGTTTTTTCGTCCAACAAAATGAAAACTTCCTTAGGCAACATTTTTTGCCATTCCAATATGCACCCTTGTGCACAATATGAGATCATTTGAACAAACTATGCCATGGATGTGGCGATAAGATTGATCATTTGGCTTGAAAGCCATTGATCTCCACACGTGATAGCTCATTTCTGAGAACGCTTTTTTAAAATAATTGCCTTATTACAAGTTTGTTATTTTTCCTGGGAACTTGGCCACATATAATGACACAATGCGAAGGTTTCCCAATTTTTTGATTTTTTTTTTAATTTTTTATGCCCGTTTCAAAATGCGGTCAAAATGGCGGGCTTGACCGTTCCTAGCTAGTGGTTGAATCTTGGAATTTTTTTGGTGTTTCTCTGATAAAATAGATACTTATGTACCTAGAAATGATTTTTGGAAAAAATAAAGAGCAAACTAGAAGGCAGCTACAGTTCAAATTTGACCCGCTTCCAGCTGAATCGGCGAAAATTTGTTTTTTTCACGAGAGGTGGATCAAAACTTTTTACACCCAATCATTTGGTCAATTGTTCATTAAATATGGCCTAGTATTTTAGAAAAATGATTTGGTCCAATTTTGCAACAAATATATGGTAGGTCCTTCACAAAAAAATTCATTTTGGTTACTCGAAAAATGAAAAATGATTTTTTCGTCCAAAGAAAATGAAAATTTCCTTAAGCAACATTGTTTGCCATTCCAAGATGCACCCTTGTGCACAATATGAGATCATTTGAACAAACCATGCCATGAATGTGGCCATAGGATTGATCATTTGGCTTGAAAGCCATGCACATTCACACATGATAGCTCTTTTCTAAGAACACTTTTTTTAAAAGAATTGTTGTATTAAAAGTTTATTATTTTTTCTGGTAACTTGGTCACATATAATGACACAATGCAACGGTTTTCCAATTTTTGGATTTTTTTTTGAATTTTTCATGCCCGTTTCAAAATGTTGTCAAAACTGCGGGCATGACCGTTCCTAGCTAGTGGTTGAATCTTAAAAAACTATTGGTGTTTCTCTAATTAAATAGATACTTATGTACCTAAAAATTATTTTTGAAAAAAATAAAGAACAAACTATAAGGCAGCTGCAGTTCAAATTTGACCCATTTCCAACCGGATCAGCGGAAATTTGTCTTTTTCACGAGAGGTGAATCAAAACTTTTAACATCCAAATATTTAGTCAGTTATACATTAAATATGTTCTAATATTTTAAAAAGTTGATTTTGTCCAATTTTACAACAAATATATTGTAGGTCCCTCACAAAAAACTCATTTTGGGCACTTGAGAAATGAAAAATGAATTTTTAATCAGCTAGACCAATTTTTTAGTCAATTACGACCAATTTATATGGTCATGACATCGTAGCCGTGTGCTGCATTTTAATTGGTCTGTGGGCGTTTCACGCGGATCATGGATGGACACCGTCGGATGCTCGCGGATCCAACGGTAGTCCTCACCGCAAGCCCACCTAAGGCAAAACCCTAGTCCTCGTGGACATTTTCCATCCACCCCCCGCCTCCATTCTTTCTCCCCTCGCTCTCTTCTCCGTCCGCGCACGCCTCCCCTCCCCGCTCCCTCCCATGGCGAACCCCGTCGCCTCCCCTCTCCTCCTCCCCTCCCC